GGAGGGGAACCAGACACAGAGAGGAAAGGAAGGCGAAGGAGACGGGGAGAGAAGCCAAGGACTGAGGGAGACAGAAGGCAAAGATGGGGTAGAGTTGGGGGAGAGAGGAAAGGGAGGGGGTGGGCAGAGAAATAGAAGCAGGGAAGGGGAGGAACACTTTCTGGGTTCTTCCTCTCTCCGATGTACAAAAAGAGGAGAGGCAGGATCAGGATCAGGGGTAAGGGCACCCTCGTGGTCCTCCCAGGTAAGTTCTTTGGCAGGAAGGGGCACGCATCTGCAGCCAAGCTGCTGCTCCCCCACTGTCCCAGCTGGAGCTGACCCCGCCTGCCGGTAGCTTGTCAAAGCTATTTCTGGAATGTGGAATCTGGGTCAGACGGGGAGGGAGGAAGGTGGCAGCAGCAGTACTGGCAGCGGGGAATCGGGAATAGGGCCAGATCTGCCTGCGTGGGTGGGTGGGCGGCACCACACCCCTTCCCATGGTCCCTCAAGTGCCCAAATAATGTCGTCACCAAATCTACCCGTCTGCCTGCATGTTGCCTGAGTGCATGTGTGCTCATGTGAGTGTAGCAAAGCACTTTCACGCCCTTCAGCAGCGTAGGGTCTCAGAACAGCCCTGGAAGGGCAGGGCCCAACTTCTTACTCCTTGGAGACACATGCTAAGGAGGAGGGGGCCTTCTGAGCAAGGGTGACCTTTGTAGGGAGACAGTAGTGGGGTTAAGATGCTCCTGTGTGTATACGTATGTGTCTGTGTGGAGGGAGGTGATTATGGGCAGGCTAGCCATGTACGGTTGTACAGGTTTTACACTGATCAAGGATGCCACATTTTACAAGGGGGTCCAGGGGGGACTATGGCTGATTGAAATATTGGTCTCAGTTCTCAATCTCTCCCTGTGCTCATACCCTTTGTTACATAACCACAGTTTCTCCCATGAAAGGTGGCATATATTCTGCTGGACCTTGGCTTTGGAATCATATGACTTGTTTTGACCAACTGGATATTAGCAGATGTGACACAAAGTGACTTTACATGCATTTGCAGAGTGAGGTTTTCCCTATTCTAATTCTGCACTGCCGTGGGAAGAATGTGCCCTGGCTCAGCCACTGATTCCAGGAGCATGCTTTGGTCCCAGGAAGAGGATATATGGATATGCAAAGCAGAATGAGCTAACCTGCAAACTTGTGAATAAAAACAAATGCTTCTTATTTTGCGCCACTGAAGGTACATGCTTGCCTGGCTCACAATTGCAAAGATGTGGAATCAACCTAAATGCCCATCAACAGATCAGTGGTTAATGAAAACATGGTATTTGTACACCATGGAATACTATTTAGCTGTCAAAAAGAATGAAATAATGCCTTTTGCGGCAACTTGGATGGAATTGGAGAACATCATCCGAAGTGAACTAACTCAGGAACAGAAAACCAAACACTGCATGTTCTCACTTCTAAATGGGAGCTAAGCTAAAGATCTGCAAAGGCATAGTTTGGAAGGACAAAAGAAATCACCTCTTGGGTACAATGTGTGTGTGGGTGGGGGGTACAGTTAAAACCCTGACTTCTTTGTCACTACACAATGCAACTGTGAAAACAAAAACTATTTATACCCCCTAAAGCTATTGAAGAGAAGAAGAAGAAGAAGAAGAAGGAGGAGGAGGAGGAGGAGGAGGAAGGCGGAGGAGGAGGAGGAGGAGGAGGAGGAGGAAGAGGAAGAGGAAGAGGAAGAGGAAGAGGAAGAAGAAGAAGAAGAAGAAGAAGAAGAAGAACTGTCACTTACAGTAACTTGAAGACAGCAAATGGATTTGGGCAAGGCAGTTTCCAGATAAAATGTTGAAAGCAAGAGCCTTTTGGCCACATTTGATAAGGACTTACAAGAAAGAGAGGAACTCATAATAGAAATAGCCAATCTGCAAGGAGTATTTACAGAAAATAGAGAGCAAGACTAATGCTTGCTTAGTTGGAAAACAAATCTGTCAACTCCAGCCTGTCCAGCCAGTAAATCATTCTCAAATTAAGATCCAGCCTGGGGATGAAGATCAAACCAAGGTCATAGCCAGTTAAGATACAGCATGTGGGCAGATCAAATCAAGGTGTGGTTATAACATCTTTTATTGACATTGCAGAATTGCAAGGTACCCTCTAATAGATACTATCACTGGTCAAAAGAGTTTACAGAAAGCTTAAGGGCATGGTCCCCAAAAAACCTGATATACCCAAAGTAGGCATAATTCAGTCAAGAGAGAGCCATGACCCAAACACAATTATGGTTGTGGTTTTTGGCACATGGAGTTATATGGATCATTACATCTCTGAAGCCCCATTCCCCCCTTTTCTAAACAGGAATATAAACTGCAGTTATCCTGTCCCTGTTTCACCAAATGTGTGTGGGAGGATTTCACCCATGTGTGTGGGAAGATTGACTTAGAGCATAAGATTTAAATTTTTTTTTTGAGTTGGAGTCTCACTCTGTCACCCAGACTGGAGTGCAGTGGCTGCTCCGGGCCACTGCAGCCTCGACCTGCTGGGCTCTTGTGATCCTTTCGCTTCAGCCTTCCAAGTAGCTGGAACTACAGGCGTGCACTACCACACCCAGCTAATTTTTTTTATTTATTGTAGAGATGAGGTCTGCCAAGTTGCCCAGGTGGGTCTCGAACCCGCGGGCTCAGGCAATCCACTCACCTCAGGCTTCCAAAGCGCGGGGTTACAGGCTGAGCCACCGAGCCCGGCTAATTTTTTTTTTTTTTGTAGAGATGGAATCTTGCTATGTTGCCCAGGTTAGTCTCAAACTCTTAGCCTGAAATAATCCTCCTGGCCTCCCAGAGTGCTGGGATTACAAGCAAGAGCCATTGTGCCCAGCCAGAACATAAGATTTTTTTTCTTTTGAGCCAGATAATAAGAATTGTTTTCCTTTGAGCTCAGTCACATGACTTGCTTTAACCAACAGAATGTTAGTAGACATATGTAAACCGATGCCTCGAAATGTGCTTGTGTAGCTAGCTAGACTTGTTCTCTGGTCTTTGCCATTGTCCTGAGGAGACTATGCCCTGGCTAGGCCACTGATCGCAGGAAGACTGTTGGTCCCAGGAGGAGGATGAGAGACATGTAGAGCAGAGCTGTCCTGGCTGACAAACTTGGGAGCAATAAATACATGTTAACTATATTAGACTGATTTTGTGGTGTTTATTATGCAGCATTATTGTTGACCAATTGGGAGCTGACCAATACAGTCCTAGACATGTAGCCCATACTTTATCTTCAGTCCGTTCATGAGTGATTGGAGTTGGGAAACTGGTGAATGGGAATTCCTTGAAGAGAATAACTAGGGGTACTGTATGTCCCTCCAGGGCTATCTCATGCTTAGAGAACTTCCCATGGGCATGAGGCTGTGGGGAATGGGATCCTTTACCCAAGCTTCTATGTGACTGCAGCAGAGTGCCTGAGAGAGCTGGCAGGGCTCTCCTGGATTCTGAGGCCATAGGAGCTGGGCCTCAACTCCGCTTGGAGACCTCTACAGTGGAAAGGCTGGGGGACTACCCACAACAGCAGACCAGTCCACACGCAGACCAGTCCATGTGTTCAGAGTTCTACAAGGCAAAGGCCCTCATTTTCGGGCAGATCGTTGAGGGAGAACGTAGGGGTGGAGTCATCTCCAGAGGATTCTGCCCAGGATGACTGGCCAGCAGAGCCAGGACCCTAGCAGAATGAGGTGTGGGAGGAGGTGAGCCTCCAGATGGAGCAGCTGAGGGGGCATAAGAAGCAATGGTCTGAAGGAGGGTTGCCCATGCCGGGTGCGACTAGGGTACCAGGAGAGCCCTGCAGAGTAATGAGGCATCAGTCAGAGCCCCCATACCAGACAACACACCCTGGCTACCTCCCTTCCTAGCTGGAGGAACCAGGAATAGCTACTGGTGACCAAGGAGCAGAGAGGACACTGACAGCCACACTCAACTGCTCACTGTGGGCTTCCCAGCCCAAGTCATGTCCTAGCTGCAGGTGCATGAGATTTGAGGTGGACAAGAGTAAAGTTTTGAAATTAGACCAGACTGGACTCTTGATATCCAAAAATGACTCTGTTCCTGAAGCCCTAAACATGTTAGGAAACGCTTGAGGACCTGCCTAGATATCACCCAGGGACAGGGCAGAGAGCCCAGAGGTGTGAGAGGCATGGGTGAGACAGATGCTTCTTGTTCTGCCCCCGCAAAGACCATTCATCCAGCCAGTGAACTGGTTGCCTGTGTGCTGAGCACCCATGGGATTCAGGTCATTTACTCCACCAAAGGCCAATGAACACTTGAGCAGCCGTCTCTCTTCCTATGAGCCAACCTCAACGACTGTTGGTTGTCAGGAAGCCAAGAGTCAAGTCTCAGGACTGGTAATCACACCTGCCACTTGTCAAGCTCCTGTCCCAGGCCAGGCCCTTCCCAGACACTCCCATGCCCAGTCTTCCTTCCTGGCTTATACCCTCAATTTATAGAAGGGGAAACTGAGGCCGAGGGAGGAAAAAGAGCCAGCTGGAATAAGTTCCATGCTCTCTCTACTACACAGGGACTGTGCAATTTTCCTTGTCTTCATTTCCTATTGTTTCATGACTTGCTTGGTACGCAGGGTCCCCCCTTTTCTCTGATCATACATGCGTTACCTTGGATGATTAAGAACGAGAATCCAGAAGGTACTTCCCGATGGTGAGCAGGATAGAAACTGGCAAAGCACCCTTTGAGAAGCTCACTGCAGACCGCCCCCCCCCCGAAGGCTCCCTTCGCAGGATCCACCAGCAGGCAGGTGGCAACCAAGTATGCGCGAGCTCCGGCCCCACCAACACCTCCCACCCCCACCACAGATGGCATCTGCCTCTGTGACCCCATTTGAGCTCCGTCTGCCAAGTGGTTGGAGGTCCAGCACCAAGGCCTCCGGGGCTGCCAGGTCACAACGGATTCATCCCTGCATTTCCCGCAGGCCTGGTCCCCTCCAACGAAGAAAGCACCCTCCCTTATCACAGCACTCACTTGGAAGCGTGCGACTGTTGCTGAGGCTGCCGGTGCTGGGTGGGGGGGAGAGGGATTGCAGGGAGACACTGTCCTCCTCCTGCGAGCAGCCGGCCTGGATGGCCCGCAGGTAGCTGTGGCTGCGGGAGCGAAAGTAGCTGGGCAGCGGCAAGTCCAGCGCCTCCGCGGCCGTCGACTCCGCTTCGCTGCAGGCTGACTCACAGGCCGCCTCATACTGGTCGCTCAGATCTGCCTCCCGGACCTGTCCAGGCAAAGGCAGGTGTCTCTGTCCATCCCGGGGAAGGGGTGCTCAGTGGTGGGCTCAGTGGCAGGGGTGGACAGTCCGTGGGGCCTCACCCCAGCCCACGCCTCCTCCCATCTCACTCGGGGTCTGGGGTGGGCAGATGGAGCCCTTAAGAAAGGAACAACCCCACTCACCTATCTGAGCCTCAATTTTCCCATCTCCACAATGAGGATGAGGTTGGAATATTACAGAATGTTAACTAGATTATCTTGTGTGTCCACACTGATTGACAGTAGATTTTAAGGTCACATCTGATTCAGCATGGAGGTCTATAATCAATTAGTAATGTCTGTTCTGAATGGTAGAATGGAGGCGGCTGTAGCCACGCCGGCTATTTAACATCTTATAATCTAATCCTTTTCTTTTCTTTATTTATTTCTTTCTTTTTTTTGAATTGGAGTCTCACTCTTGTCACCTAGGCTGGAGTGGAGTGCGGTGGCACACTCATGGCCCCCGCAGTCTTGACCTCCTGGGCTTAGGTGATCCTTCCACCTCAGCCTCCAAGAAGCTGGAACTACAGATGCACACCACCATGCCTGACTAGTTTCTGTGATTTATTGTAGAGACAGGGTCTCACCAATTGCCCAGGCTGGTCTCTAATCCCTGGGCTCAGGCAATCCTCGCACCCTGGCCTCCCAAAGTGCTGGGATTACAGCCACTGCGCCCGGCCAATCCTTTTATTTTCAAGCAAAGAAACCAAAGGCCAGTGAAGGAAAACAGTTGCCAGGGGCCCCCAGTGAGGAAGTGGCAGGACAATACTGCAAACGTGCATTGAAGGAAGATTAATCTAGCCCTGGCACACAGAATGGATGTTGGGAAGAAAGTCTGGATGAAGGCAGAGGCCAGAGATGGAGCTGGAGCAAGTCTGGTGGGAGAGGACCGGAATAAGGGCGGTGGCCCTGACAACTGATGAGAGATGTCGGCGTGGGCAGGATGGAGAATGGGCAGGATGGAGAATGGCGCTATCGGCCATCTCACGCCCAGTTCAGCCTTGCGTGGATGGTTCTCAAGTGTCTCTCCAGGTGACTGTCTAGGACCCTGCGAATCTGAAGTGGGAGTGTGAGCACAGAGGGACCCACCATGCACACATTGTCCAAGGGTTCCAGAAGGGCTGTCTTTCCCATGTCTCAGGCCATGTCCGCCACGGAGGACCGCTAAGTATAGCCTGGGGAACCAGCTGGCCAAAGATGGACATCAGGCGTAGGTCCTGAGGGGCACGCCTGGGCTAGATTATCTTGTGTGTCCACACTGATTGACAGTAGATTTTAAGGTCACATCTGATTCAGCATGGAGGTCTATAATCAATTAGTAATGTCTGTTCTGAATGGTAGAATGGAGAATGAGAAGAGGCCACACATAATTGTGTGGAGGAAAAGGGGGCCTGGTCTGGGGCTGTCTGCCCTGCCGAGCCATGTAACCTCAGGCCATCGCGGTCCTCTCTCTGGGCCAGCTCCCCTCACTGATATCAAGTGGACACCTGTGTGCTCGTCTGAGATGGAATCAAACAACTAGGAATGAAGAGGGTGTGTGGAAAGGTCAAATCTGCACTGTCCATTGTGGCAGCCACTACCCATGGGTGACTGTTTATGTTTACATGAAATAAAATTAAATAAAGTTCTAGCCGGGTGTGGTAGTTCATATCTGTAATCCCAGCATGCTGGGAGGCATAGGTGAGAGGATTGCTTGAACCTAGGGGATTGAGACTGCCTGGGCAACTTGGTGAGACCTCGTCTCTACAATTAAAAAAAAAAAATTTAGCCAGGCATGGTGGTGTATGCCTGCTTGGAACTAGTTCCAGCTGCCTGGAAGGCTGAGGTGGAAAGAACACCTAACCCCAGCAGGTGGAGGCGGCGGTGGCTGTGAGTGTGCCACTGCACTCCAGCCTGGGCGACAGAGTGAGACTCTAACTAAAAAAAATAATAATAATAATAAAAAGAAAGAAAGAAAGAAAGTTCTGTGGCTACATGAGCCACATGTAACTAGTGACCTTGTTGGACACATGAGTTACAGAACATTTTCATCACTGCAGAAAGTTCTATTGGACAGTGCTGATGAATTAAAATATAGGCCACGTGGCATATCCACAGTGCACTTAGAGGGGTGCTAAGGAGACGGGTGTTTATCCTCCAGAGCTGACCTGGAGCCCAGCAGAGCCCCTGAGACTACCCAGGGAGATGGGGTCTTGCTGTGGGATTGCACAGTAACAGCGCAGCCAGGGTTTCAGACCTGGGCCCACCATTTCCTTGAAATACAAATGTATACAAGTCATTTAATCACTTTGTGCCTCGGTTTCCCTGTCTATAAAATGGGGTTCACTATGGTTCCAGCTTCACAGGGTGACTGTCAAGAGTAAATGAGAGAATTCCTACCATGTGCTTAGGATGGTATCCAGGAGAGGAAGCCCCCGGGTAGCCTGTGCCCATGAATGTGGCAGCTGTGTGGAGTTTGTGACTACTGGTTAGGATGCTCCCAGGCTCTGCGGGGAGGTCAGCTGGTCAGTGCTGCTGGTGTGTGTACCACTGAGGACTCGCTGTGCAGGGCACTGTCCTGGGGGCTCTGTGTGCTAACATACCACCTCCTTGCCACGTGCCTGTTGGAGTCAGGGGAGGAAAACATCGCCTGGCCCACTGTAGGCTCCCGGAAGACCCTCATGAATCTTGTGTTCAAGAGGAACACACAGTTCCTATGACAAGGGGCAGAGGGACAGAGAAAGTATCCATGCTGGGATAAGGAGATGTGGGTGTGGCCAGTTTTGCCCCATGGGATGTGTGGCCTTGTCCAAGTCCCTTGCCCCTCGGGGGCTACAACGAGGGGTTAAGCTCAGTACACCAGGAGGGAGAAGACAGCCAGTTCAGGGCTGGGCTGGCTGTGCTTGGGAGGGGATGCCCTCAGGGCAGCCAGACAGTGCCACAGCGGCTACCTCGCCCACTCAGGTGAAGTCGAGGTCTCCACATCCACTCCAACACCCCAGCATCCTGAAACACCCCTCCAGGGCTCCAGAGAGAAGAGCAAGGAGCCTGGGACCTGGAAGCCAAGACCACCAGCCCGCAGTCCCAGACCTGTCCAAATGAAAGTCTCCCTGCCTGGTCCAGGGAGAGGAGAGGAGGGTGGGGGCCAGGAGACTTTCAGGAAAGCCTCCCACTGTCCTGGGGTTACTCCTTGCTTCATCCACAGCAGGTAGCTCATTCGTCCTCTTTTCCGAGAAGAGGAAACTGAGGCACAGAGCAGTTAAGCAAGCAGGGTGGGGAGTGCAGAGTCAGGACACCCGTCTGGGCCTCAACTCAATGGAGGCACCTTCCTGGTGATGTCTGTCTGTGCCTGCCGGGCTGGGAGCTGGGGCCACTCAGATGGCAGGGCTGAGACCAGGCCTGGACTCGGATCGGGGTGCAAGGGACGGGCAAACATACTGACCTGCTGCTCGTGGCCAAACAGCTGGGGGATCAGGGAGGCCTGTCCAAAAATCTGCAGGAAAGAGAGGGTGAGGGTTATGAGAGGACAGGGCTGGGGGCTGGGTGGGGTATTCAGGTTCGGTGGCAGGACTCCTGGAGGCTGGCTGGTCTAACTTTCTCCCAGACTGGCCAGGGCTCAGCTGCTCAGGTCTCCCTTGACTTCCTTCAGGGACGGGAGGCTCACCTCTTCTAGGGCTGGGCATTACTCAGGACCTGTGATCTGCTGCTTACAAGTTCTTCTCTTGGTCCAGCCCTTGGGACCATGGATGCTCAGTCTGCTGCCTCTCACCTGGCCAGGGAGCCTACCTGCATAAACAGATTAGGGATGGATCCCAGGCTAGGATATCCTAGCCTGCTTCTCCCCAGGCTAGGGTATCTTTGACTTTGGGGCCAATGTGCAGCTTGGGTCACTCAAGTTTCTTCTAGAGGTGGGGGTTTAGGGGATTAAAGGATCCTGAGCCAGGAGAAAGCTGGAGGTGGGCAGGTGGTAGAGAGACCTGCTGGGTCCCCAGCCTGACTGATTCAGCAAGCCTTTTTGTGCAGCCAAAGGGCAAAGGCATTCCAGGTGCCAGAGCCAGGTAGGGGATGAAGATGGAGGGTGTGGAAAGACAGACACAAAGAAATCTGGAGATGGAGACACACCGGAGAGGATCAGTGAGAAATGCAAACGAGGGGAGAGGGGACAGAGAGAGGAAAACGAGAGAGACACAGACAGGAAGGCTGAGAAAAGGGAGGGTGGGGTGGGAGAGAGAGGGAGACACACTGTCGTTCAACAAACACCTACTGAGTATCTGCCTGGGCCAGGCATGGTGCCAGGTGCTGGGGACACTGCAGGGAACAAGACAGCAGGGTCCTCACCCGCAGGAAAGCCCAGTGTTAAGAGGGATACAGACATTAAGTAAAAGAGCACACTCTTAGAATTCCAGGAGGTGACAGTTAAGCAGGGTAAGAGAACAGCATCTGGAAGGGCTACAGGAGGACTGATCCGGGCGGTCTCTCTGAGGAGGTGACATTTGAGCCAAGACCTGAAATCCAAGGAGCCAGCTGTGCAAAGATTTGAGAACAGAGCTCCACCTGGGGCAGGAATTAGGCGGCACTTGCTGTGTGGGGAGCAGAAAGGAGGTTGGTATGGCTGGACAGGGCAAGGGAGGAGGTAGGGCCTGGGTCCTGCAGGATTTCACGGGTCAAATAAGGACTCAGACTTTCCCTTGGGGCATGGCGCGATCTGATGTATGTCTGATTGGAGGTGGCCAGGACAGCCGTTCTGGGAGATTTATGGGGTCTGCTTGAGGGTGGCAGGGGCAGAAGTCCCGTGGTTGGGCGCCCTACCCCTCCTCACGTTTGAGGGCTGGGGGAGGGACCAGGCCAGGGATAATGGAGTTGTGAGGAGTCGGAGTCCTGAAGCCTTCTACGCAGTCGACTGGTTCTGATCACGGCCTGCACACAGCAGGCCACGGCCTGTTCCTGCCCAGGGAGAGGGCCGGCTCTGTACCTCGCTGCCCCACTGCTTTCCTGTGCTACCACCAGCCAGCATCTGCCCTCTCTGGGCCTCATCTCCCAGTGCACACCGTGGGGGAACCCTTTAGCCTTGGTTGGTTCTCCCTTTGCAGACCCTCAAGTCCTGTGTGCAGGGCAGGGACTGAGGTCCAGGTCCAGGTCTGGGTCTGACAGCCCCAGATTTCTGCCCAGTTTCACCTTCTCCTAGCTATGACCTCAACTCTCTGAGCTTTAATATTCTTATCTGTAAAATGGGTATATGGTTAATAAGGCCACCTTGAGAGGTGGCTGTGAGGGTTCAGTGCCTGAGGTTGAGAGAGACGCATGTGAATTAGAAGTGCAGCACAGAGCATTTATCACTGTTACAGGCTGAACTGGCTGTACCCTGGGAGCCCAACTTTCCACTCTACGTAGGCGGACATAGAGTCCAGAGTAGAGAAGTAACCCACTTGAAAACACACAACACGATGAAAATAATAGCCAGCCCCTCTTTGCTGGGCACAGAGTCCATTATCCCATGACATAGGGACCATCACCATTCTGTGGTAAATTGGGAAGTCGAGGCTCAGGGAAGGGCGGTGACCAGTCCTGGGTTCACATTATCAGTGACAAGATTGGGGCTCGAACCCAGCTCTGCAGTTCCCTGTCCTCATGGCTCTGAGACCAAAGAGAAGCAGACAAGGCTCAGAGCCCGGGTGGCAGCCTGGGTGTACAATGGTGGTGGGGGCCTCCTCCCCAAGTGCCCACGGCTCTAGAGACCATGCTCTGTAGCCACAGGACAGTCAGAGGAGCAGAGAGACACAACACACACAGGCAACTTTGGGAACAGAGACGAAACAGAAGCACCGTGGAGACATCTGGGGCCGCTCAGCAGCGTTGGGGCCTGGATGCCTGTCCTCCTGTGGGAGCTGGGGCTCTCCCAAGCCCACTGGCCTTCCAGCCTGACTGCCGCCCTCACCTGGCTGATGCAGCTGGAGTCGTTGAGGCTGTCGCTGACGGGGGTGTAGTCCTCTTCCCAGCTTGGACACTTGGAGGGCAGCAGCATGTCCACTGAATCCAGGCGGTCCAGACTCCTGGTGAGAGGGTGGGGAGCAGACAGAGTTCAGCCAACCCATTGTTCAGTGTGGGAAACTGAGGACCAGAGGGGAAAAGACTGGCCAAGATCACCCAGCAGCAGAGGGAAAGTGGAAGTCACTGCCAGCCAGAGCAGAGCGGGGGCGACCAGCAAGGAGAACACAGCTTTGGGGGCTTTGACATCTGTGATGCACAGGTGGCCCCCACGTGTCATACTCACTGTAGCCACGGGGTGGCAGCACTAGCTTGCATTTGACAGTTTAAAGCCGGAGGCTGGCTCAGCCCGGCTCAGTTCTGCGGCTCCCTCCTCTCCCTGCCAGTCTGGGACACTTCCGAGACTGGACAGAGGAGGTGGGTCAAGGCCCACAGCCTTGATCTTAGGCTAGAGCTGCCCAAAGGGCATCCATTCTGCTGCGATGTGCAGGTGGCTTTTGCCAGGCCCCCAACAACTCGCAACTTATCTCCACGGCCCAGCTCCTCAACCTTTCTCACGGCAACTTGGCCCTGCGACTCCCCCAACCCCTGTTCTGGGGATAAAGTCCATGCATCCAAGAGCTCAGGCCCCTGGCACAGAAGGGCTTGGACTGGAATCCAGCTTCATCTGTTGGGTGACCCTGGGCAAAGCACTCCCCTTGCTTAAATCTGTTTTCTCCTCTCTAAAGTGGGGATGACACTGCCTGCCTGCTGGGGCTGTGGTGGGGTTTCAGTGATGCGGATTAAAGGGCTCCAGGCAGGTTCAGCGGCCAGCCAGGGAGGTGCTAACAGACAGCAGCTGTTGCTATCACCATTGGCGTTACTCTTGTTTCCCTTCCATTTAGGCCTCTGCCTGGCTCCTGTCCGCCTCTCCCACCTTAATCCCCACTGGTCATTCATGAAATTGTAGGATCTCAGGACTAGAAGGGATCTTGGAGATCATCCTGCTCAGGCCCTTCACTTGAAGATGAGAAACAGGTTCGGAAACAGACCTGGGACTGGCTGGTGGTATCCTTGAATTCCGTCCAACCAACTAGACTCTAGGTTGCCTGGAGAACTCTGCCTCCTTCTGCCCCTGTGCCACTGTCACCTGACCTGCTCTCCTCCCTCGTCCCAGTCTTCCCAGGCGACCCCTTCCATGAAGCCTTCTTCGTGCCCCCAGTAGTTGAAGGGCTAGGAACAAGATGGTTTCTGCTAACTCTTCCAAGTCTTAAAGCAAGAGGATGGGGCTCAAATGGTGGAACTCCAAGACAGGAGAAGTCTGTCTCTTTAGTTTTGGATCCACGCCCTCTCTGGTCTTTAGCGCTCACCATGGCGATCAGTTACAGGGACAAGGGCAGAGTGGACTCTGGCCTTCTCTGGGCAGTGCCGCACAAGCCATGGGCTTATAAGGGCAGGGTTCTAACCTGGGGCAGTTTCTCTGTGGGAGCGGAGCTTGCCTGGGACGTGGCTCCGGTGGGCAGGGTTTACCTGGACGGGTCACGGAGAGTGACTCTCCTTATGAGTGGGGTTTACCCAAGGATGAGGATCACGTGTGGTCAGGTCTTAGCTGTGGGTGGGGTTCACGGAATGGTTCACCGAATCAACTTATTGGCAGCACCCAGGTAGTTCAGGGCCACCTAAGGACAAGGATCTCGGGGCAGGGGCTCCCCTGAAAGCGGTTCATTTGGATCTGAGGCTGAGGCAGCCTCCCTGGGCTGGGCTTTCCCGGGGCAGCCGAAAGGGGGGAAGGCGAGCTCCGGGCGGGGCACACCTGGGAGCAAGCTCACCTGGGAGCAAGGCTTGCCTGTGAACCGGGCTTGCAGCCACCGAGGGTTCCCGGGGGAGGGCTCGCGGGC